AAAAAAAAAGCTCTTTAAAAGAAACCACTTAAAACAGCAAGAGAAACTACAAAGTGACTAAGAATAAACCTACTGAAAGATATGTAAGACGCTACATAGAGCATATAAGACTTTATTAATGGATATCAACGGAAAATGTAAATAGAGAAACATTCCACATTCATAAATATGAAAACTTATTATCATAGAGATATCAATTCAATTCTGAATTAATCTATAAATTAAATAAAATTTCAACCTAACATGGGTTTTTCATGGAACTTTACGGGGTGATTCTAAAATTCTTATGGAGGAAGAAAAAATACTAACAAGGATGGACTCAGACAACAAGATATCAGATTTACCATAAAGCTTTGGTACTAGCTCAGGGACTGACAAGAAGACTAATGAAATTGTTACAGATTGAATGTTTGTGTCTCCCACTCTGCAAAACCATATGCTGAGGCTCTAACCCCACTGTAGCTGTACTTGAAGATGCGGCCTCTAAGGAGGTAATTAAGGTTAAATGAGGTCAGAATATTGGGGCCCTGATCAAATAAGTGTCTTGTTTTTTGTTTGTTGGTTTTGAGACAGAGTTTTGCTCTTGTCACCCAGGCTAGAGTGCAGTGGCACAATCTCAGCTCACTGCAACTTCCACCGCCCAGTTCCAGCATTCTCCTGCCTCAGCCTCCTGAGTAGCTAGGATTACAGGCATGCATCACTGCACCTGGCTAATTTTGTATTTTTACTAGAGACAGTGTTTTGCCATGTTGGCCTAGCTGGTCTTGAACTCCTGGCCTCAGGTGATCTGCCTGCCTTGGCCTCCCAAAGTGCTATGATTACAGGTGTGAGCCACCACACCCAGCCAGTAAGTATCTTTATAAGAAGAGAGCAGAGAATTCTCTCTCCCTCTTGCTCTCTCTCTACACACACACACACACGCACACATGCACACACACATACACACGCACGCATCAAAGAAAGGCCATGTGAAAACGTAGTGAGAAGACAGCCATCTGCAAGCCCGGAAGAGAGCCCTCACCAGAAACTGAATTTCCTGGCACCTTGCTCATGGACTTCAGCCTCCAAAACTGCGAGAAAGTTAATGTCTGTTGTTTAAGTCACCCAGTCTGGGATATTTTATTATGGCATCCTGAGTAGACTAATACAGGAATAGAAAAGAAAACTCAGAAATAGATCTACAAACATATGGCAACTTGGTATATGACGGAGGTAGCATTATAAAACAGTTGAATAGAATATTCAATAAATGTCCCTGGGATTTGTGGAGAGAGAGGAAGGGAGGGAGAGAGAGAGACTATGTATCCCATTGAAATTAAAACTTCAACAGAAGACATCATAGGCCAGGTACAGTGGCTCACACCTATAATCCTGACACTTTGGGTGGCCAAGGCAGGAGGATCACTTGAGTCCCGGAGTCCAGGGCTTGGAGACCAGCCTGGGCAACATAG